GTAGGATAGGATACTCTGAGTTGTTTAGGGGGTTTGTATGTTTGACTGGAGAGCCCTGTCATCCATCAGACCAATAGGAAAGTGAAGAAAAGAGTGAAGAAAAGAGTGAAGAAGAAAGTGAAGGACTTGGTTGAATCACCTGAGACTTTCCGCTGGTTTTGGCCTTGGTCTTCTTTGGTCTCACAGCCTCCATCTTTAGTTAATGCTCATCTCAGCTTTCCTCACACGTCAGATCACACTGACATACAGCGGGTCTACGGGTCTCTCACACACAGTATATGTGCTGTACACACCCAAACACACAACCACCATAATAAACAAGCTGCAGCTGAGCGCTTCCTGTGATAAGCAGCTGGAGGCTGCAGTGTCCAGATAAACGCGGTCAGCGTCCCTAAATAAAACCCTCTGATAAAACCCTGAGAGTCACCGCCGGAGAACAGCACGGCAGCAGCTAGCAGCTAGCATGGGTGTTAGCGTAAACACACAACTCATTTCTAGAAAAATGGAAGTCCACCACTGAAGCCCTGTCAAGGCTAAGCTAAGCTAGCGGCTAGCTGTCAGTGTGTTACCCTGCCTTTCCTCCTTCGTTATGAAACCAGCGGCGGCTCTACCGTCGTTTCCGAGTCGTGGCTGACATTGTCAACATGAGATTTCCACACGTCGAGGCGGCTGACAGGCGGAGCTCGTGCACTCTGCTGCTCAGCTGTCATTTGTTTTGTTTGTTCCATGTACTCCGCGAGCACAATATCTGACCACGTGACTACTCCTCCTCCCTACGGCAAGCCGGCGGAGCCAAACGGAGCGAAACACTGTGACATTATCTCTTTATATACAGTCTATGGATATTATTTATGCGCTTGAATGAAGTGTTTCACTGTCGGTACAATTTTATGTAAACAAGTGGTGAAAATGATTAACCTCTTATGCTAATGATGAACAAACTAATCACTTATTATTTACAGTGCTAATAGATTCTTACTTGCTGACACAGTGAAAAGTATTTTTGAAAGTTGTTGTGCTCATGTATGTTAAGTTTCTCCTTGTCACTGAAACGGAAACATGGCATTGCATCTTTAAAGGTTCCTGATTTGTGTTGCCATGGTGACGGCCGGCAGGAACGCTGGACGCGCACGCGCAAAGAAAGTTTAGACAAAGTTGTATCAGCTGAAGAGGCGGAGGAGTTCAAACTTCGAGAAATCTTCACAAACATCGAGGAGTCATGAGTCTTTCCAAGCAGATCAGTGATCAGCAGCTTTCATGGTGAGTTAACACGGTGTGTGTGTGTGTGTGTGTGTGTGTGTG